GCATATAAATAAAATGAACCTTGAACCTTGAACCTTTGTATACGATTTATATTCCTTGCAGTCCTCTGGTCATTAGCAATCTCCCTGAGAGTAGTTGAGACCACGTGGGGATTTATCTACCATGTTTTCCTGAAAATAAGATGGGGTCTTATTTTCTGTTGACCCCCAAAATAAGCGTTTGGCCTTATTTTCGGGGAGATCTTATTATTTGTGAGGTGCAGGAGGCGGCGAGGGTGGTCACCTCATGGCTGCTGCTGTGTTGCGTGTTGCTGGGCCCCGCAGTCTTTTTGCGGTGGCCATTAGCATGACAGAAGGGGCGTGATGGCTAGGGTTGCAGGAGCGGCCATTAGGTAAGGGCATGTGGGGTGCATGGGGGCATGTTGCCCTCCCCCCCCCACTGGCCTTGCCTCCTCATCTCATGTTGTTTGTGTGGCAAGCAAACAGAGGAAATGGAAGGGACTGGCTGCATATGCGTTTAAAGCCTGATTGGGCTTATTATATGGGGAGGTCTTATTTTCAGGAAAACATGGTATTTATTTATCTATTTATCATCTGAATAGTGCAAATGGGTATGGGACTTTGTAGGAACTGCTGAAAAGACTGTGTTGTAAATAGGAGATAGGCAGCATTGCTATCTTCCTTCTTTGCTGAGAAAGGGCTGCCAAACTTAATACGGACCCCCCTCTTTCAACCCCGTGGTCCTCTCTGCCCAGAATGTGGACTTTGCTGTCTTCAAAAGAATGATCTTTGTCTTTCAAATGCCGATGGACCACTACATCTTGTCCTGACGGTTCACTTCTCCAGGGGTGGTATTCAGCAGGTTCTGACCAGTTCTGGAGAACCGGTTGGGGAAATTTTAAGTAGTTTGGAGAACCGGTAAATACCACCTCTGACTGGCCATGCCCACATCTATTCTTTGCCTCCCAAGTCCCAGCTGATTGGGAGGGAATGGGGATTTTGCAGTATCCTTCCCCTGGAGTTGGGAGGGAATGGAGATTTTGCAGTATCCTTCCCCTGGAGTTGGGAGGGAATGNTTTAGAGGATAACATTCTTCTGAACAATATGGAAACATCATACTATATTTTAACCATATGCATTTTGTGTATGTGTGTGTGTGCAGGTGTCAATCAAGGGGCACATTCAGTATATATTGTATATAATTGCACCCCTCTTCTTGAAGAGAAACATCTGTTCAATTTTCTTTCTTGAAAATGAAACACGTCATTAGAAGTAAAGACCAATACGCCAGGCTCCCTTAACTGGTTTGTATTTACCCTGTTATCCCCAAGACAAGCGGCTAACATTGAATGGTAAACAATCCATTTATGCTTTGGAAACACAGAAGCTGTTGCCAAGTGGCCTCTCACACTTTATGATGTAAGCAAGTAAATAGAAAAATATGTATTTCATTAATGTGGAACATTTGCACACCTTGGAAAAGCTGTAGAAAATCTGGCCACGGGTGGCGGTGCGGGAGAGATGGCAACGCCGATCTCCTTTCACATTTGCAACTGGCAAATCTGAGTTTCTTCATATATGGTGGTAGGAGCCTATGCTGTGTTTTAGTTGAGCAACAGAATTGAACAAAAAGCTGATATGTATATCTTAGGAAGCAAGCTAAACTGAAATTAGATTATTTGGCTTGTTATAAGCCAATTAAAAAGCTGCCTTAGAGAGCATATGTCATTAATGACATTAATTTATTTGCTTGCTTGTTTTGGCCACAGACCAAAGAGTAGACTTTGTCCAATCGTCTTTCAAACTTCTGACATAGTTGCCCCATCCCCAGCTTAGATGAAGAACTTCTATGTGGTCCAGAATCAGCTGACTTCCTCTGCTCACTGTCACAAACCACATCTCCTATGATAAGCACATCCTTACAGTCTCAAGATATCTGGGTGTCCTGATAAACCACCACATAAGTGTGAGTCAGCAGTGTGGTGCAACGGTCAAAAAAGCCAACACAGTCCTGGGTTGCATCATCACAAGGGATAGTATCAAGATCAAGGGAAGTGATAGTACCTCTCTATATCATACTGGTGAGACCCCGTATGGAACACAGGATCTAGTTCTGGTCACCACAATAGAAAAAAGTTGATGAGGTCCTAAAAAGAGGACAGAAAAGAGTAGCAAAGATAATAGGAGGTATGGAGTCTAAATCGTATGATAAACAACTAAAGGAACTAGGTATGTTTATGGAAATTCTCAGTCATCCAGGTCATTGTTGTCCCAAAGGAGCTTTTTCAAGAGGCAACTGAACTTCCATGTTTTTCTTCAAAGACATTTCACTTCTCAACCAAGAAGATTCTTCAGATTTAGCTAAGTTTATTTTAGCAAAGAGAAACATGAGAAAGACATAATAGCAATATAGAGTAATGGGCTAGAAGACCTGAAAGGTCCTTTCCAACTATTTAAGTCTATATTGTTCCAAGCACCAAAGATCCAGGCAGAGGGGTAAACTAAGTTAGCAACTCTTCCACACTACAGGTTCACACTCAACTCCAACCCCAATTTCAGTTCAGGAA